TCATGACTGTTCCTAGCAACTCTAGTCTTTTCTAGGCGCCCTCTATTTTAGTATATAAGCCCGGCAAGTAAAGCGTAGATATAATTGCAGATAGGGAGATATAGAGACAGATAATCGAGTCAAGTCGTAAGTAAAGGGCGTGAATCGTTATGAATTATAGCGTGTGTTTAAGTTAAAGTGACTGCGGAAATTAAGTGTATTGCAAAGTTATATTGAGAAAGAATAAACTAGTTTTATTTAAGAAAGGACTTGTATCGCTGAAGTTCTTTGGAAAGAATTCTTACTGGAAATTAACAAACGACCAGAGACGTTACAATACTAAATTATTTTATATGTCATGTTTCCAAACTTTGGTAATGAAGAAGTAAGTATATTTCAAATCTTTTATCGTCAGTAAATAAAAAAAAATCGTTCTAACCACCATCATGGTATTCATTAATAAACTTCGTTTTCCCTCTCACGAGACCAAAACTACATTACATACTGTTTCAACAGTGGGTTAGCGTTAAATTTACGGACCTACAACGCTAAAATCCAAAGTTCGGTAACCTTTGGTGGACAGAGCGCGAATAGCCCATTTTATAGCTTTGGGCTAAAACAAACAAACTTTACGTACTTTTCTAAAAAAAGAAAAAAAAAATTCAACCCTTTCGATTCGTCCTTTTCGAAGTATTAGTTAAATTTGTATGTTTTATATTCGGTTAGTTATGAAAACGACGCATCTAATTCATTTTATTTTACACATCTTTATGTCAGCCACCAGTGATATTTTCAAACACTGTGTAGCGCTTGGTTTAAATGGTCTTCTTCCCATTACTTGCTTGTTTGTAGTTAAGCGCAAAGTCACACAATGGGCTACTTGTGATCGGCCCACCACGGGTATCGAAAACCGGTTTCCAGCGTTATAAGTCCGTAGACGTACCGTTGTGCCACTGGGGGACTACTTGGTTAAAAATTGCTGGAACCGTGGTGATTATAGAAAATCGTAAACTAGTCAGTTTGAACATAAGAAATAGAAAGGTCACAGAAAATCAGTTGGCCCATCGTTCTCACCCTCGAACAACAACAAAGAAAAATTTCCTTACGGGTTTAATATGTGCTTCTTTATCATATACACATCATTATGTTATTTATTATTTGAACATAATTTGTCGGATAATAGATTTCAAACTGCTCATTAGACTATTAAGTGTATGTATATGGAGGAAACATTAAAGAATAGACAAACTGGTGTAATGATAGGAAACAGAGTGGTTATAAATTATCATTTTCTTTCAATTGCGAAAATGTGACTTCAGATGTATGTTTTAGGACAAAAATTATTTATATTAACAAATTCGGAAATTTTTTTATACATTAATTTGATATTTATAAATTTGCCAATGATACCAATAAGCTGGTAAGCAGGGCTATATCTATTGAAAATACTCGTTGTATTAG